TGCAGGTAGCGTTAATAACGCCAAGGACGTGGCGTAGTGAGTGGCTTTAACAACGCCACTGCCTAGTTCACACACAAAGGCGTACGCTACGCCAGGCTTAAGCCAGCCTTACGCCGTGTGTGTGAACATAGCCTTACTCTTTAAATTTAATACAAGTTAAATTGAAATTACGCTAGATTTTTTGATATACCGTGCTCTTTTCTGGAGCAAGTTGTGATGTAAGTAAAGTTTTTATGTAATATTCAAGTCAATAAATAAGAAATAGCTTAATAGTTATATATTTTTATAAGCTACAATAGGACTTATGATACAAAAAAAAAACCTCTTACAAGTATGATTTAAGAGCGGGATGACCACTAAAGATATCCTGCCCTTGTCAAGTTGGCATAGGGTGCACGTAATCAAATGTTATCAGATGACTGAAACATTATAACAACTTGGGCAACTAAAGTAAACCAATGAAAATGTAAGCTAGTAAGAACGTTATATACATTATATTATATCAAGATAATTATTTTTTCCGAAAAAAAAAGAACTGTATTATTGCAGGCCTGTAAGCCAGTAAACAGATGAATATTTGCATTTTCAACAAACATAGATCCATTAATTTATTTATTTATTCAACTTTCTTTATACTGGATGGCACGCTCAATGCAAAGGCACTGGTTTTTGTTGTGTCCAGTTATAACATAAAGATACAAAAGAGATAAATAATTGAAAAGAAAAATGTATGGAAATTAAACAAAAGTACTTAATTATGGCTCAGAATTAATTATGAAATCAATGATGGAAAAAACTGTTGAAATGTTATTTTTTTCCCTAGTAAAATTGTTTTATAATTTTATGTTTTATAATTTGGACAAGAAAGCCTACCTGCATATCTGGTAGTAACTATGGAGATCAGATGTTGGAACATGTAGTAGAGCAGAAGGTTAAATAATTCAGTTGGTTTAAAAATTTAATTAATTGTTAATTTTAATTGCCATTGTAGAATGAATATCTCTCTTAAGCAAATATTCAAAAATAGAACTAGTAGTAAATATGAAAAATTTACTAAAACAAGCTGCCTTGTAAATAATTTGTTTAAAACATTTCTTCCAATCAAAAAACTAGCCTTAGTGTGATATCCTGTAAAAATAAAACAGAAAATTACAAAATGTAATATATAATATAATACAGTAATAATAAAATAAAAAGTTAATAAATGAACAAAGTACTAGAAAATGTAAAATGTGGAAGTCAAGGTAATCATAATGTTCCATTGCTACCAATTAAAAATAATAATAAAGAAAAATAGATAAAATATTTCATTACATTTAGAAATTTAACATTGAAATTTCATAATCATTTTAAAACATTGTATACTTCTTCAATATATTCAGTAATTTTTCATTTGATATTACTGAATGGCATCATGGTAGCCTAAAATAAACAAATGAAGATTTTAGTTGAGGATAAACCTGCTTCTGTCCTTACCGAGTGTAAACTCCAACGCTTTCATGTGTTCTCTCTTTTCTCCTGATGCCTAAGTCCTTCGTAATGCCGCAACTTACAACCAGCCACCTGACAGCTGAAGACGACATGACAAAGTGAGGTCAGGCATGTAGGCCTACTGCTGAATCATTCAATATATACATACACACGGTCGTATAAAGAATTTAAACTTATATGTACCGGTACACATTATGCTGTAATATTAGACCAGAAGCTATATACAATCGTTACAGCATTTTGAATATTTCTTTAAGATCAGAGTGCTATATTTGAAATTTTGTTTCCCTCAGTTGCTGATTGTACTTATTTTGATGTTTTGTTATTGTTCACTAGGACATTATCATTGTCATTATTATCAATATCATTGCTAATATAAATGTTAATGTTTAATTAACATTTATGTTTATTAACATGTTTATTAACATAGAAATCGAAATTTTTAAGATAAATTTTACTGATTTTTTAGAATAACTTTTATATATTGTATTTTTGCAATTGTTTTTAAATTTTATTGAAAATATATTTTATCATTGTGCTTTCTGTATTTTATCGTTGTTACTGTATATGTTTTTTATTTGTTATGAGGGCCTCTTTGAGTCAGCCTTGCTGTAAGAGCCACCCTCATAAAAGAAAGTTGAATAAATAAATAAATTTATTATTACTATCATTATCAACATTAACATAACATTTATTATTAATAAGCAAATAACTTCATTTTTATTTATTTGTTTACTTTTTTTGCTTAACAGGAATGGAATTCGGTATTATAACATTATTAATGTTAATATCACCATTATTATTTGTATTATCATCATTATTAATGTTATCATCACCATTATCATTTGTATTATCATCATTAATTATTATTACTATTATCATTATGAAATTATTTAGTATTATTATTATCACTCTTAAAATTTATAACAAAAATTATAATTTCAAAATAATTTTTATAATTTTTAAGTACAGTTTATTTAGTAGTATTTTCAGTGTTCAGCTTTTCTATTTCTTTTAGTTTGTATTTTTGTAAGTAGTTCTATTTTTTTCTTTTTTAGTTCATTTTATAGTTAAGTTTGTTTCATGATGTGTAAAAGATACATATGCGGCCTAGTGGAAGAACAATGGAAGAGCTTTCTTGTAAAAGGAAGATTTTATTATTACAATTAACATAATAATGATTTGAAATATTACAGTAAAAAAGCAATATCGTAATATTAAATAATAATACATACATAATTTGATGATATTAATAATTATTTGCTATTTTTAGAGCAGTGTGTAAACTATTGTGTAGGTCTGTTCTGCTTTCAGGATGAAGTTAATTTAATTCTGATCACAGATTGAATCTGCAACCCTCGGTTGGTCAGGTATTGCGTCCGCAATTCTACACTTCCATCATAAAAATACAATATGAAGTATCATTTAATACTCTGAGGGAAAGTCAACCTACATCTGAATAAAACATCCTTTGACGACTGGCCTAATTAAAAATAATAATTATTTAAAGGTTAATACATTCCACTATTACCCTCAAGGTATTGGGGTGACCTTTTCAGGACGCACAATTATATTGGCCTCATGACAACCAGTAGATATATCATTGCGCTTTATCAGCTCTAATACTCATGAAGCAAGAAGCACCTTATTTGAAAGCTTCAGGAAGTTATTCAAAAAGGAACCGAAATGTAGTGGTAGGCTGGCTGTGCAAATGCAACACTCTTATATCTTGTTTCTTCCAAAAGGAATTCAGCAGTTCAGCCAAAATGCATAATTTTTTTTGGTTATTATAATTTTTTTGTTATTTTTAAATAAGGTTTTATTGAGATCACTCACGCAAGTGTCATTAGAATTTAAGTTATCAAGTGACAAAATAATAGCTCTCTCATGATTGTGAAGTCCCAATGCAAGTAATTTCCTGGCAAATAAAAGCTTGTCTTATACCTAGTTGCAAAGCATGTTACAAGCTAGGCCTATTTTTTAATCAAAGAAGACCAGTATTAGTACTATACAAATTCATAGAATTAACCAACTTTCTACTAGTGAACAAACCACTACTTATTTATACTTCTTTGGTAGCAGCAGCTGCTGGAATCAATAAAGAACCCCATACACTAAAAAACTATAGTCGCCTAAAATGATTTTAGATATACTAATACATTTTGTGCATATTATATAGTTGTGAATTTTAATCATATATTAATGTAAATATGACACAATATAAGGTATGAAAATTATTTAGTGAAATATTATGGGCAATTGTTATTGTATTAAAAATATATTATCCAGGAACTCAACTGTAGGCCTGCATCAGTTAATCAAGCAAAAGCTTTATTTATTCATGAAAATATACATTTTTAAGATCATCTCCATCATCAACTGTTTAATCATTTTTATTATTATTAAATAATTATTAATATTTTTCCCTGGTTGCAATTCTTTTTTTTTTATTTGATTGATTTTATTGTACTTTTAACTTTATGTTTTTGTGTTTTATATAAATTTTAATTATATATATTCATTTTGTAATTATTGGATGGGAGTGGTTCTCTGACACTATGTATATTAAAGTATAAGTAAGTATAAATAATATATAAATAAGTCTAAGTATACTTAGAGAACAGGCCCACATATCCAGCTCTCTTGATTGCCAATAAAGAATATGAATAAGAATGAAAAATCGTTCACCTAAAACACGTTGTTTTTCCACAAGGTTGTGATACATGTTTCTTAGCGAAATGGCAGTCATTGGTAATGTATTCATTCTCTTTTGACCATTTTTGGTAATTGGGGGCGATTTTCTAAAACAGCAATCACGACATGTATTACAACATTAAATAACTTATAATTCTTTTTTCATTAAAAACACAGAATTCAGTGATTAAAAGTTTGGTAATAGATAAGATGTCTGGTATTAAGGGATACAGATGTTTATCAACAGGATGCAGGGTTAGTATAAATTCAGGTTCGCCTTGTTTGCTACCTTTCAACTACTTCCTGAGTTTCTGCAACACCTCATCTACAATTCAGCTGTCTAACACAAAGACAGCAGGGTGATCATGTGACATCAAACAACTATACATAATGACATCAAACTTATAGTTACATAAGTTTACTCTCAATATCCAGAAACAATTTGCACATTTCATATTCTAAATCCAAGTAAATCAGATCAAACGATAAGAATTGTTTAAAAGATTTTTCCCCGCAACGAGAGTGATAAAGGATTACCGATATTATTTCCCTGAAAGTACTTAAAACGTAGCTACAGAAGAAAAAACAAATGAATAGGCTATTCATGAACATTCAGTTGCTTTTTGACATACAACTTGTAAAATTAAACATGTTTGAACTTTAAAATTATTATGAGCATACAGGTACAGATACAGATACAGAGCATTACTATATGAAGTAAAATGACACTAAAAATAATAATGCTATTGAAAATTAAAAAGATATCTGGCCAACTCCTAGGTCAATGTTAAATGGAAATTGCACACTAGACAGGAAATTAGAAGAAACAAGTGAAGGATGAATAAGTCAAACATTTTTTTTTAATGTATTTTAATTTTTACATTACAAAATATTAAAAAGATATATATTTGAAAAATAAAACATAAACAATAAATACTTTGAATGATGGCAAATATTAGTTTATTACACAAAAATATAAGGTGATGAATAGTATCAAGACCATTGTGTAGGACAGTTGTTATAGGAAGCCTACAATTTAAAGCAACAAAAAGACTTTGAGGGCTACTATGGAGGGGAGGGGTGTGGTAGTAATTAACTATGAATAAAAATAATGATATAGTAAATTTAAGATATAAAAACATCCTATATGTCTGCTCCCCAAAGCATGAGTGCTGTATATTTTAGGTATTTTGTTGATAAGGTGATCTGTGTACTGTATATGAAAAAAACATTGTTTTTATGGTTTGAATTGCAGCTATAAAAGACATTGCTATTAAAGATAACTGTGTCTCTGAATGGATACACTATAAATAGGAAAATCTATTTGTATAACAATAAAGTAGGCCTGCATGTTCAAATATACACAAGTTTTAGTTTGAAACCCTCTTTCTATCGATTTTTAGTATATTAAGATTGAATTTCATCCTATTTGTACAGTGTCCTGTTTATAGAATGGGTGGATGAAAGCTTATGACTATGAATTTATTTAAGTCTATAAATTACAATATTTTTTATAATTAATTAATAGCAATTAATTAAAACAAATTCTAATATGATCATGTTCCAGCCACTACTTTATTGAAATATTGCAAGCTGTTGTACCTCGATAGAACAAACTATATGTGAAGCAGACAAAACGTGTTACCACAAGGTGGTTACATTCTAAGTTACCAACATCGTATAAATTCTGCGTAATCGACATCGTATGAATCAATTACAAACTTGTTAAATTAACAAAATAACCACTTTTGTAGTTACAGCCTTATGTATAAATAATTTACATCTTTACAACTAAATTAAGGATGGAAATCGCAAAATATCTTAAGCACGACAGCTTCCAAGAGTTCATACCAATATGCAGATGCAACCGGATGAATTAATTCATGAGGGAACATTACTTGTGTTATAAAACATCCTATATTCTGTTTATTTGGTCATTGCATACTTAATTATGGGAGCCAACAATATACTTCAAATGGCTGAGTTCATTTACCTCATTCCAAGAGTAATAGAGAATAGTTAATTTGATTTAGAATAGAAGCCTAAACACATAGGTATAATATTGGGAAAGAGGACAGTATTGCTCGATTAATTCTCTCCGCACCAATATCAATGAGGTTATTTGAGGTCAAGCCGTCATAAATAGTACGCGCCATACAAGAGCATATTTATCATGATTATCTTATAGATATGGTAAATATAAACATGAATTAATTCTAAGCAGATTTTCTTTTTTTAAATCTGCATAATTATACCAGGAAAATGCACTTCCCAGATTTATGAATATTGAACTCAGAAATTTCTCCAACCTGATTGAGTTGATTCCATATTTTCTGGGTTTTATATTTTGGCATAACTTGTTTTTGTGGCTATTATAGAGGAAATCAATCTCTTGAAGTGGCATGTAATGTTTTTATGCAGAGAGCTAAACCGCCATCACACACTTAATTAGCATAGGACGGCAGTCACAGCTCTCTATCTAGCTGGATACATTTACTATGTCTCGATTCTAAATGGGTATGGAGAAAGATTACTTCAATGTTGCAATGAATGCATTCTAAGCTGTGTATTATGGGATGTTTTGATCTCGCTGTGGCTGCATTGCAAGATGTCCGGCTTTGATTTAAGTGATTTAAGTGCGTTCTATTCGCATCATTTAGTGCGGATGCAAACATTTAAAAGGATTTTGCACTTTTTACTACAAGTTAAATGTAGCAATCTGCATTTTTTATTCATAGAAAAAAAAAAAAAACAAAACACTCCGGTAATCAAAGATGATATATACTAGATTAACAGAATATCCATAATGGCTGCATACTGGTTCGGCCTACCATCTTTGATAATTCAGAATTTGAATCTATGTGCGATTCTCATTGAATGATATTAAAAGGTTCATTACAACATAAATTTGATTACATTATTGTTGTAAATTTGGAATGAAGGAAACAACATTCACTATGCCAATGATGTTAAACCCACCCACTGGAGATTCAGTCTGTCTTAAATTTGGTGGTTAATCTTTGGTGGTAAGACCATTGTCAGGTGGGGAGGGGAAACCGAAATTTAAAAAATCAGATGAAGGGGTATGCTTGTGCTGTATAATGGAAAAGTGAAATCCTTGAGCATCGATGATTTGTACAGTACTACTATAGTAGAGTTTCTTATTGTTTTGGGGTCCTGGAAGTTTCTGTATCGGTGTAAGGAAAAGGCAGTACCAACAGACAATCGGGATGTATATTTGCACACAATGCAATGCATGTATTACAATCACTGTTCTAGTACAAAATCTCACAGCCTCCACAATTGACCGCAAACAACAATCATACAAAAACAGACATATTTTGCAGACTTTTTCACACATTTATTTGAAACATGTAAAAAGTACAGTACAAATTGGGCAAGTAGCAAAAAAATTTTCCTCAAAAACAAATTAATCGCTCATAACTTCTGGTCTTAAACACACCATTTACCAAATCAATATTCGCTGTCTTCAATAACTGTAAAGCCAGCTACTTGTACAGAGTATCCACATATCTCAGACTCTTTAAAACATTGATAGTTTTTTTTTTTATAATAGCTTTTATAGGAATGTGTGTGTTAAGTTTGAAAGACCATCGGTTCTGTCCATTTTATACTCAACTCTTATTTTTAAACGCACCATACAAAACTGGAAAATGAATTGATGTTAAACATTGTAAAACATTGGCAAAACATTTGTCAGACAAGACCATTCGTTGAGTAAAATCCATTTCATTTGTGTTTACTCAGATTAGAATGAATCGACAAAATGCATCAAAACTCTCCAAGTAAAAACAGTCTGGGGATAAAATTTTTTTAATATATGGTTATACCATTATTTTAGAAATAACCCTGTAAAATACGCCCCCTACATTTAAAGGAATTTAAAAATTGTTTTACCATTATATGGTAGAATTTATATATTATGTTTGAGGTGCATATTTTCCCCATCTTAAATCTTTACTACACTAGCAAACAAAATTCCCTTCATGCTTTTACAGAGAGTTTTGTTTTAAATCAGTACCAGCCTCCAACCTCACTATTTCTACATAATTCTTTCGTTCTCGAATTTGCCAGCGGCGAGTAAAAAATATGGAATTTTCACTGCATATCAAAATATTCCATCTTTCATGTTTTTATTCATTATTTAGCACTTGAAAGAAATAAGATACATTTTATTTTATAGTCCCAGAGGACTCTGTGGCATGATTTTGCAGCCAATCTCTCTTCTATACTGAAGCACAAAACATTTGATTGCTATTCATTTTGTACCATTTCTTCCAAAAACACTTTTTAAAAGCAACACTAAAGCATTAACTTCTATAACAAAATCACAAACACGCGTCACTAACAAGAAACTTAATGAAGGATTTTTTTAAACATCTAGATGTACCTAACTTGCTTTTCATTTTTTGTGCAATTTGAAATAAACTGTGTACTATGTGATAAAAGGAAACTTATTTGTTTCAGACATAGTAAAGTCATCTCTTCTCTCTTGCCATACAGTGTAGATAAGTAAATAACTATATTAATTAATATTCTATATTTTTAGATTTTCAAAACATATAACAAGCATCACATAACGAGAAATATAACAAAACTGTTAAGAATTTAAGATTTAAGAATCAACATCGAATATGTATGATGCAACAATAAATATATTCAATATTTCAAATAATTTTAACATTTTTTTTTAACTTGAAAACATGTTATTTACATTGTGACCACATCATTTACATCCATTTCCATGTCTATTGCTGACCGATTTCCGGTCTTAGCTGATAGGGTCAATTTTTGGGAAGATCATGTAAGTTCATCGTTTTTAAATTTTTATCTGTTAAAAGTTCTTTCCTTTATTTGGCAGCTGCAGTGATTGCAAATGAATGACATCAGGTAATTTATGCCATTTAATTATTTCTTCTTTATAAGAAGAAAACAAAGAAATTAAGGAAAGAAGACGGACAAAGAGAATGGAACGGAAATGTTGCATGAAAGGAACACTCAAAAGTTAATGTTGGCACACAAGTCCAAATCAATCAATTATGCAGTCAAAATTCATTTTTTTCTAAACAACACAATACAATATTACACTTTTTTTAGACTGAAGAAAAAACACATGCAAACTGTTCTTCTAAATTATAACTTCTTACTTAACAATCTTAAAGAGATCACAGAACCAATATAAAGCACATATCATCACTCAGCTGATATCAAATAATACATGCACAATTGTAAACTTATTTTAAGAAAAATTACACAAACATAACCAAAGAAATCATTTATATGTTGAAACTCATTTGCACACCAGGCGTAATATTATGGGTTGTTTTGGCGAGCATCTCGAAGAAGATGTGTATTGCCCCGGTGGGAGTTCTTGTCCAGGTGTGATGTTGTCCATCTTACATTTTTGTTTTGTTGTTTTTAAATGACACTTGTAGAATGCGTCCTCCTAAGGAATAACCATTCAGATGCGCGATAGCACTCAACGCCTCCTCATAATTTGTCATGGTTACGAATCCATAGCCCTTGCACTTCTGCGAAGCAAAGTCTCGCACGACTTTCACGCTTGTTATTGCACCAAATGGGCCAAACAACTGGTAAAGCAGTTGTTCTTCCGTATCTTGCATTAGATTATACACAAATATCACCCAACCATTCCCATTGTTGGTCATTGCTTGGAGATTCATTGCTGAAAGTACATCATTTCCCATTGGTGAATACCTACAGACAAAAACAACCAATCAGATATTAATATCAGTAATTTTTTTATTTGCTGCAACATACATGCTAATATATCAAAGAAGGGAGGATTAGCAATCATACACAGGCAGTACAATAACATAATGAAATACAATACAAAATGGTAGATAAAAAACTTGGATAAAAAGCAACTACTGGTACAAACAAATGTTACCAAAAATGTTGGTAGAAAGTGCAATAAAGAAAATGTCATGTAAAAACCAAAAACATCTGAAACGGAATGAAGAACAGAAAATCGCCAATCACACGAAATCATCTAGAAAAGATGGAAACGTTTAATTAAGATGAAAACTCCACTTGGAACCGAATCAGTGATGAGCATATAGAAACGTACTTGACGCCATTCATAAGACTAGTTATATGTTTCGCAAATAAACATCCGCTTTTATAATCCAAATTGAATTAAGACCGAAAGTATAGAATGTTTTTTTATGCATCAAATTGATTTAGAAATCCCACAGAGGTATTTTAATAATTTTTACTGTCCTTCCCAGTATGGTTTGGTAGGAATTAGTTTCCAGCTCAATTTCTGATTAAATTCCAAAAGAGTAAAAAAAGTAAGAAAATTAGTGGTAACCAATGTGAAAAGAATAAATAATTAAAGAAAACAAATTAGAACATTTTTTTTTTCAGTTAAAAACTTTGTGCAACTTGTCCTGAATACAGCATTCAAGAATAAACTGAAAACTCAAGAAAAAAAGTAAAGTAACAGTATGAAATATCCTTTCACCCCAAAAAAGTTGAGGAACAGAAATAAGAAATTTCCTATGACAGATAAAAACAAGCTGAAAACCAACCAACCATCCAACGGACTAGTCTATGTAAAGATTATTCTTACGTTTAGAAAGTCTTTTATGGCTAGTCAGTGAGTTAGTGGAGATGCCCAGCACTTAGTGGTTAGGTTACGGTAAGACAAATTGGTTTCAACAATGAACACACACGTTAGGTTGTCACGAAACCGGACCGCTGACCAGTCATACTCACATCGACTGTTTAGGGAAGAGCTTGGCCATTATGCCGGACATCTTGCTTGATAATTGATTCAACCTAAAAGTGTATACATAAAGTCATAGAATTGGATGTAAACCACTCGATATAAACAATGGATGGATATTACGTCAACTTCCACTGTTACAAGGTGAAAGGATATGTCAAACTTCAACACATCAAAAGTAATGGAGCACATGATACATCATTAAAGAGCAAGAATGTATGCTAAATGAAAAAACTGAAAGAAAGAAGTTACATTTTACTCAAGCATACATGGAGATCTAGATCATGCTTGGAGGAAAAGAAAATTTCACAAGTTTATCAAACCACAATTTATAATGTAATCTAAATTCATAGTTTTATATATTTTAGTTCAGATAAAACAACAACTAGAAGGGTAAACATCAGTAGTGGGTATTGCTAGGGTGATATTTGCTAAGCAAATGCTATGCATTATATAAATTATAATGGTAAATAGTCCTTATAGGACCTTAGTGGATTAATGTCTTTACCCTATAATGCATTATAAGTAGTTAGAGCGTTTTGGGTGGGTCACTAACGATTCTTTAAAAACTTTGTTGAGATTAATTAATATATTTTCCAATGAATTGCCATTAGGCCCTGATAGACCAATAAATATATTGTATTGAATATTAATTATACGGAGGAATAATACTTATAATATTGGCGGTTTATACTAAATTGGGTGAAATTAGCAATTACATAGAATATCACCATCACTTATAAACCAGAATACATTAAACAAAAATAATATTTTATCACTAGATATTCAATATCTTTATACACTGGCTGCATACTACTGTAGCCTGCAGTTCACACAAGTAACATGCCGTGCTAAGTGTAACTAAAAACACCATCTTAATCATAAATTAAATATTTTAAGTTATGCTTTGGAAACAATGTACAACTTGATTCGTCCAGACATAGAAAAATTAACATAAGTTTATTCCAAAGCTTGAATTTTTATCTTCCTCATATCAAAAGGATGATAAATATGTAGTCAGATTTAATGCAAACCATGCAAGCATGCCACAGAGTAGTAAATACACTGAATAAATTATAGAAAAGTGAACACGAGAGCAATGCTGAAATAATGTAGTAAAATCTATGCTTTAAGAAAACTAGGCATATATTGAGTATATTTCTTTTATTATAAATCACAGCGACCATTATTAACACTGAAATTAAAATATGATGTCTATAAATAAATATCATAATATATAATAAGTGAAGCAAGTTTTCTTTACCTTATGGTTGGCGTACAGTGTCTCATTGGTCCGGGAGAATATCCTCTCGTTCTTGGTGGCGACAGAATATTTAGCTGGCTGAGAGCGGCAGGTGTAAGCGCACACTGTTGGAGTAGCATCTTTTGCTGGTTCTGCGAAGGGTTGTTGGCAAATTTCACTGTGATCGGTTCCGTTCCCTTTACTGGGATTGTGTTGTGAAGTTTTGCAATAGCATTTTCTGCTTCTGTTCGTCTATCATATCTAACAAACCCAACACCTCGGGGCAAGCCTGGATTTAAAAAAAAAAAATCACCTTGGCAATTTTCATTAGAGAATCCTCTATCACATTTAAATAATATGATTTAAATCGACGGTCTGCAAACTATGGGCTGCGGCCAAATTTTCGTGTTTTTTTGGGCCGCAAAGTCACACAGGGAAAAAAATTAAAAGAATTGTTTTATAAAAACACGTCATTGATATAGCAAATAATAATGATAGACCTACTTCATTTTAACATGGCGTAAAAATAAAACTTCAAGGACATGCAAGGCCATATGAATGTAGACAAACACAAAGTAGTAAAAATATTAAAAACAAATTACATCACTGCTTAAGAATCATCATATAATCAAGGTGTGTAAAATAGTAAAAATGTGAGTAAATACAGAAAATGTCATCACTAATACAAAATTGTTACAATTTAGAACATATAAAGATGTCAAATTATTGTACATTATTAGGTAATTTTCATGATCAGAATTTTCTGGCGCAACTAGACCAATGCTTGGTGCCTTGAATCACAAATAAGCTCTGAATTACCAGTTTGCAGAACGCCAATTTAAATATAGTCATTTGATGATAATATTCCTGGCTGACAAACATGCAGATGAATAGCAGAATAATGCACATCCCAAAACAGACCCACTCTACTGTTTAGCCATAATGTTGCTCTACAAACTACCATGCAAAAGCAGCTTTTATTGAAAAAGAATTTATTTTATATCATGCAAATTATTTTTTGTAACCATGAGAATGTATCCAAGGATTTGGACCCAGCTTGTGGATTGGCAGGTTATCACCAGTCTATCCATTTTATCTTATATTTACTATATAAAGTATAATTTATATTACAAGTGATAAACTGATAATTATCAATAACGCCTTGTGTCTTGTGAGATGTTTTCCACTATTCCATGCCATTTGCTTCTGTTATGGGCAGAATATACAAACACAAACTGTCCTGCTTTTGACCCCATTGGAAATAAATCAACATTATTTGATTTTGATGGGTCGGTCCATGCACCCATTCGCCGTTTTTATTGGCAATTTTTTATCTGTTTTTTTGTATGTCTGTTTTGTGAAGTGTTGTATTTGAATGGATGCTAAATAAATAAATAAAATGCCCATGACCATCCATCTGATGAATTGCCAAGAGTTAAAATATATATGAATAAATGAGGCCCCCCCTCCCCTTTGTTAGTTTTACCACAGACCCTATGGTTTTACCATATATAGGCTATTTTTCTCTATGGTTATACAGGGTATATGTTAAATTAATTAATTAATTAATTAATGTAATATAGTAATATTCTGGTGTAATAGTAGCATTGGACTACTTTACATGCTATTATTTCAAACTATTGAAGACTATGTGTAGGCCTATTACAGTACAACTACTAAACATTACTGGATCTCTTTGTTCAGAATACAGTATTATTAAAATGTGGCATGGTTTGTGGGCCTATTGATGCAATAGAAAGTAATAAGTGTACATCTCTTTGTTACAGATCACAAAGATACTGCTATTTTTATATCAAAGGAATTTACATTAGTATAGCGGATACCAATTAAAAATGATGAGTGGTAAAGCATTTGGTTAATTATTGTTTTTCTGCTAATTAGTATACTAATTTAGTGTTATGCAATAATCACTAATGAAATAAGATAAGTTTAAATTATAATTAAAGCATTGTGATTTTCCAATATACCTGTGTTTGGATATCAAATTTAATCTATAAAAATTTGTTATATTTTTGGCTTTCAGTTTCTATGAATTGATTATTTTATACTAAATTGGAAAAACACAATTGTAGCTTGAGATGAACAACATGTTGTTGATCCCAAGATGTCAGCATGCATCCTATCAAAACAAGTAAGGGATTGTTTCTCACCCTTACCTGTTGTCTGATCGGTCAACAGGCGTAATGTTATTATCCTTCCAAACGGGTGGAATAACTTCTCCAAGTCCTCTGGTCCATAAGACTTAGGCAGTCCACTGATATACAGATTGGCATCTTTTATGGCAGGACTGCTTGGCCGTGCATAGCTAACCTGCAAGGAGAAATGTATTGGTTCAGACACAATAACAAGATACAACCAAACATGCACGATAACATCTTAAGACTCAATTTCCCAGACTACTAGGCCTAATGGAATTTACGATAAGGATTTCATGGTTGTCATAACAACCTGCTCATGTAGCTTTTAGTGTAATTTCTGTTTATGATTTATTTCAATCTATTATTGATTCTACGGTACCATACAGATACACTTGATGTAAATAACCATTGCTGTCATACCACTACACATAGTGGAGCTTCTCTTAGTGTTGTACCATTCGCGAGACCTTGGCAGTGAGATATTCAGCCAAGCATTCATTCTAATATTATAATCATTTGGTTTGCATCCCATTATCGTAGTGTTGCTTCAATACAGTATTCAGGATTGCAGTACAGACTGTAGGTCGCATATCATCTTGTACACTGCAAGCTATCTACCTTTGTAGATGGTGTAATCATTCGTTGTTTTTGAAGATGTTAATTTAAAACTTTAATGGAATTTTGGAATAAAAATTCAGGATTCCTTTTATTGTTATAAAATTAATCAATCTTATATTCTTAATATTTGAATTGAATTCTATAAACCAGCATTTGGTTATGTTATACTCAAAAATCATCAATTTGATGATTTTATAGTATAAGCTAACATCACAAATTATAATTTTGAAGCAGTATTTTACAATTTTTCTTTGTTCTAGGCATCATTTGGTAAGTACTTCAAACGAATCTTAAGTATCATTGTTAATTCAAAATAGCCTTTATGAAATGCCAGCATTTTGAAGAAGAGATGTCATTATTACATTTGATCTCAAAATGACATACAAGCTACAAATGGAGCAGTTAACCACATGGGCCCCTTGTGAGGATACAAATGCTGCTATGATCCACAAACACCATTATTTAGTATTTACTTATGTTTAGATATTTCCCCAAACTGCTTGGTAGATGCACTTACTACAGTACTTGTAGGCCTAACACACCAGCATTCCATTAATGAACAATGGAGAACATCTCTCAGTAGAACACATTATGAGCATTTGGATGCGAATAATGGATTTATGTCTTGCGACATAGCAAATGCTACCACATTATTAATATAATTACTGATCTCTTGCAAGGGACGTTAGTAGCAGGTGCAGATGCATCATACTTGGTGTAGTAAATTATCGGTCAAAAATTGTCTTTGTAGGATCAGTCTATTGTAATGAATTACATCTCGCAGTTGTACAGTACAGTAGATGATGATACCGATCGGAAAGGAATGTGGGAACAATTCCCCCACAAACACTACATCATAGGTTCCTAAAATGAGAGGGTGATAGTCCTACACGATACAATCACGTCGTACCAAAATTGATTATGGATGAGAGAGTAGTACCACGGTACTACAATATTTTTAAGGGTGACTTTTTTTACAAATAATAGTACAATAAATTTAGCATGGAGAAACACTATCATGACCACTGTTTTCAACAATTTCTTAACTAAAAATGTTAAAGGTACAATGAACATACAAAAGATTTTTACAAACCAAACACACATAAGCATAGCAAAATCAAATGCAATGAAATCATAACATCAATAATGAATGAATAAATGACAAATATAAAAGATGAAAGTGGGAATTAAAAGAAAAGCACATTGAATACAAAGTGGGGATGGTTGGGTGGGGAACCGGGCAATTTACACAGTGTAGCATCGCTTAACGTTGACTCGACTACAAGTGCGGAATATACAGCAAATTGAAAGGGAAATGATCAGTTGTTTTGGTTGGGAGGAAGTTTGGTTGCTTGGAGTGAAATGGTCAGAATTTTTTTAGCAATGAGGGGAGACGTTTTTGTTCCCTTGTGCAAGCTTAGACCTTTGCCTACCTTTATCATCTTGTCTTGAAGTTTTAGAGCATTCAAGGTCTTTACGGCCTTGTCAGCGTCGGCCGACTTCATATAATTAACAAAGCCATAACCCAAGCTCTGTCCTGTGGGGACACCAAAGGAAAGAAAGAATGCAACGTTAAATAAGCAAAGAAAAAAATCAGAACAAATAGTATGAATGACTAATAATAAAAATCATAAAAGAATGCAAAATCAGAAAAGTAACTGAAGAGAATGAAAATTGTTAGGTGTATAAATAATATTTAAAGATTTTGGTGGCGTTAGTAAAAACCTTCTGACCGCTTGCACCAATTTCCATTGACTGCTTGCATTTCTATCTGTTGACCAATGGTATCACTTTTTTCTTTTATGACATTAGCATTTTGTACTGTAAATACACAAAATTGCTGCTTATGCCAATACCTTGTGGGCCTTCCGACCTACATTTTCTTCTGCAATTTGCACTTGTTTTTCAAGTACAGGTCTGTGACAGATCTTGGCAGGTTTCAAAATATCAACTTACAACTCGTAACTCATAGCAACCAAGTGTCACACACCCATAAGCCAAGGATAAATCATAAATTAGAGATAAAGAAATTTTGCATATAAATTAATTATATTTTAATGGTGGATATGCTAGACTGTTTTAGAACATTTAAATCCACAAATTAGATATTGTACATCCATTGTTTTTATACACTTTTTATATTAACATTAACATAATAACTGTAGAATGGCCTATTCATATTTTCTTTCTAGACAACCTATCTGTAATTTTACTCTACTTAGACGATGGTTTTATAATTCTGAATTAGTCACAAATGGAGGCAAGTTGTTTGTTCCTACAGCTTGAGTATTCCTCTGGGTAATATGCAATGCATATCTAATAATATTCCTTACTGCTTCAGTTGCTGCAATTATGATAATTAGTGCAGGTGAAATTGCTACTCTCCTAGTTGTGTTTAAAAGCCTAAAACCTATAACAAGCAGCATGTGACGATTCCCCACAGACTGACTGGATCCTCTTTACAACATGCTTCGATAATATAGGGTCACCAAAAGTAGTAATCCAATTGGGCAAGGCTCCTTGTTTTGACTAAAATAAATTCCAAGTGACTTTCACTAGGAAATAATGCCATTTCGTAGTATATTCTATTTTGAGCAGAATGTAATTTCACGTAGTCCTCCATGATTAAAGGTTCTACACTACTGCTATTGATCAGACTGATCGAGTTACACACACATCGTAACTCTATATGCTCCATATCAACGTACATCATCCACACTTTGCCGGGTTAGTATTTGTATTTTCCACGCGACAATTGTTTTCTCTATCGTTATTGGTGCATAAAAGCATATTTCAAACCACGATATTTCAATCTTAATGTTTAATGCGTGAACCTACAGTTTTTTTCTTCCCAAAACTTCACAAATAATATATGCAATTATTGATGATCAAAAAGGTAGCTAAACTGTGTCGACAGAGTTAAGTAGATTAAGTCTTCCCTTATTATTAACATACTGTTTCACTGTTGTTAAAAGCAGATTATACAATTAGTCAGTTTTCCCTCCAACTAGAATGTTTGCCACTTCGTATACAACAAAGACAATGGTGATGACCTTAAATGTGTACCTTTGTGAGTCTTGAGGTGATGTTTTTGCCAGATGGGGAGGTACTGTTATATGCTTATTAGGCTGATTAGCCATCTGCCAGTTTTTGTGCTATATGGATAGTAGATAGAGTCCACCAGACCTTCATTTACATCCTAGTCAATGGCCATAAGTGTGTCTTAGTCATCACCAAGAGAATGTCAACATTAGTGTTCTGATGGTGGTCTACTACTTAAAAACATTGATTCATATCTGTATTGATTCACAGATATAAGAAATATTTAGATGACCTCACTCACTCAATGTTATGTGTAATACATCATACACTAAACACAGTACACATGAACAAAAATATTCAAAAGTTACTATGCTTTTTAGTTTTCTTTTCATTAGTGCTACAGTACTATGTGTGTTGTCTAATGTTTACTCTGTAATCAATAAACAATTGAAGCAATGGGCACCAGGGGAAATCTAACTGACAGTCAAAGTGCATGCCCATTAATGCTATATTAATTAGTGTGGGCATCACATCTGTAAAACTCCCAAAATGTACATACATAGGCCAACATTTCAGGAGCGAGGTCTGTAAGATTTAACTAAAAAAAAACCAATATACATCAATAAAGGGTATTACAACTGATATTTGTACATAAGGGGAGTCTTTTTATTCCTTGTTTCACGTACTTATCTTTTTAAAGATCATTGGAGGAGGGCGGGATAAAAATTAAAATAAAATGTTGTTTTCTTATTTAGATGGTTTTGCCAAAAACATCCAGACGCAGGAGAAAATAAAAATACAATTTTATTGGTGAATGTAAAATAGGATGGTTAAATGCTTCAAATATATATAATTAGGAAGAAACATACATATCTTATTTTTGGATATTTCAAGGCAGCGGAGGGCGTAAAAAAATAAAGAAAAATGTTATTTTTTTCTGAAATTTTAAATTTTTATGGCGGCGGGTGCGCTAATTGGCCAAAAATAAAATTTTATTTTTATTCGAAATCATCAATATTTGTAGTTGGCGGGTTCACTAAACAAGGTACCGGTATTAAAAAAGTCTCACCTAATAGATCAAGGAACAATAGTATTATAGTATAGTATTTAAAATTACAACAAAAAAAAAATATAATTTGGGAAACCTAAAGAATTCAGTACAATACTATTTTGGGATTTTATTCTAAACATAATGTTTATAATATATTAATATTATCTATATATATATATATATTTCATTGTAATTTATTCATGTAACATATCGAGTTACAAAATATGATAATTTTTTTTGTGATTAGAAAATTCAACTTCCTTTCTTGGTTCTTTGTTACCTAGATGAATAGAAAATGCTACAGTAGGTGGATAAAGTTCATAAAATGTACAGCCATAAAATGAATACCCTCGATAATATAAATTATGGTGCAAAGCTAATAATTGCAATTCAACATCCTTGAAGAATATCAACTGATGTAAGTAACTGGAGAAATATGGGTCAATTTATAATATAATACAATTTTTTGTTCACGAATTTTCATTAGTAAGATTTTATATTAATGATATAGGTAATAACAATTATTGATAAAAAAGTCTGACTAATTCTATCTGCTATTACACTATTATCAACTAGTGTTGCTTTTTTTTCAATTTAATCTCACTTTTTTTAATTCACTTCATTTTATTTTATTATTAACTTTTTTGGTTAATTTTTTGTAGTAGAACACAGTAGAAAAAGGAACCATGGAATCTGTCACAGTAACCAAATGTAATTCAGAAGACACAATAAGCAATCCATTAGCATTGGCACCTCCATGAAATCTATCTTAACCAAGTCTACATGACAGAAGGCATGGTAGTAAATTACAATCTAGAAACTCGTGTACAACAGTAACCTGAAACCACATATAAGATGGTGAGTGGTGTCCCTGCTATTTTATAAGCTGTGGCACGCGACTAGTTGGTCCAGGCATGCAGAAGTAATTGCTCGGTTGGGATACAATAATCAGAACCTGAGGAGATGCTACAACATAGCCAACTTAGCAACTAGGTCACGGCAAAGTATACAAAATGTCAAAGATTAATGCAAGTTTTTAAGTATAAATGTTTGCCACCAACACACAAACTTTGTATAAAATTAATAATTATAATTACTAGACAGTTATCTTTTGAAACCCTAAAAATATCTATGCAAAAAAAATAATAACCTGTGCCGGAGAATGGACATTCAATACATACCATGGACAATAAAAATAATGACTATCCGAAAGAAAATACATTACAAAGATTCATTTTAATTCTTTTATAAAAAGAATAAGTATTTTTACTATTTACCAGCCTGAATCTGAATCAATACTGACAGAGGACCCTACTAGGGTATATGCGTCAGTGTGCATCATCAATTGCAAGTAATATAGGTGTTAATAATTATAAAAGATATATCTGACTGGTAAATGATTTGAAATTGCATGTTTGCCATTAGTATAGGATAGTAAAAAGAAAATAGTAAACACCGTCACCAAAAAATAATTTCAAATTCTGGATATGAAGCTAACAATTTTATTTGTCCTTACCAGTATGATGTTACTTTTTACTATATGAATTATCGGAATCGGTTCAAATGCAGTTCTAAAATTTATGCTCAGGTTCACCATAAGACCAAAAAAAAAACATCGTGTAGTTTGCACATGTGGTTAATAGATCAAATATTACAAGTACCTTAAATAATACAGTACATTACAAATTAATGCTTTCTTCATAAAAAAACCATTTCAATAGCATCAGAAGACTACAGAGCAACAATACAAAGATATACAATCGATTGAAGTAAGGATACATAACAAGGGAACTGTATAGCTATAAATATAGTAAGGATACACATGTAAGTGCAGTATAAAAATAGTATAGTAAGAATGAACACATGCCTAGCAATGACATTACACAATTATACTACATATTGTCTATTTATATTTGATTTTAATGAAAAAGAATTTTTATACAATAATATTTGTTAAATGTTAATATATGTTGAAAGCAGAGACAGGAGTGCCAGCCTCGGCAATGATATACTGCAGATATGCAGTGGGAAGATTGCCACTCCCACACAGCCATGTTCATTATCAGCATAATTTTATTATACAGTACAAAATTTATTCAAATTATCCCCAGCTACTTTGTTGAACGCCCCGCCCTCAAATTAACGTCCTTAGAATGTCATTTTGAATTAACGCCCTTAATGACATTTACAATAAATTTCAGGCCCTGAAAACCCCGGGTAAAGTATTTTATTTTAATATTGTGCATTGCCAAGCAAAATGCTAAGCAAAAGATTTTAACCAAAGAAAAAAAGTTGGAAGTCCAGACATGCCAACCGCTCTCTCATATGTGCATGAACATTCAATAACTTGCTTGCATACAATAATTTAATACAACAATAAAATGTTTTATTTTATAGATTATGTAAACACTATTAATCCTCAGCATCTAACATCAAGAAGGCAGTTCCGAAATAATGAGAATTGTAGGCCTACATTATGGTAAAAATATATTTAAATTATAATAATGCATTTATGCCTCAACATTAGTATAAACATTCTTAAGAAATGTTGAATTCAACCAATCTGAAAGCCTTATATTGCTCTTGGCAATTTTAATATGAATTTTTTACAAAATGTAATGTCAAGTGCTTTGTTGCCATGCCTATGTTTTATTTGAAGTACAGACAGATCAGATGAAAATACAGTTGCTATGGCAATAATCTATGCAATATCCATTACTGTGGCAAGTCCGATATCTGTTTAATTTAGCTTGTTTGTTATTATTAAGCAAAAAAATTGATAAATATATCAACTTTTAATGATTTTATGTTTATTGTTTATTTCATCTCAAAGAATTTGGAATACAGTAATGAAATGTAATTTTAGTAGAACTCCATAGTATTGATTTTTAAAGTGTATTCTTTCTATTGAGACACGAGATACAAAAATGCTACAATTTTAATGATCCTGACTAGGTCATAGAATATCAAATTATATTACCAGACAATTCTTCTATTACATTGTTTGCAAAAAAAAATTATTGAACCATAATCACCATTAGCTTTTTGAGATCTCGATAATGAGGAAACATTTACTTGGTACACAATTCTACCAGTTTTGTTGGGTTTCACAAACTCATGGACTAATTATGTTTGATTACCAATTGTACTTTTTTAAGTGCACATGAACTGATCAAATTTATAACTCCATGAACTGATCTACAAAACATGTACAAAACATCAGCCATTTTCTAATTTGAAAAGGATTTTTAAACTGAGCAGTTGAAGCTGGAGGAATATACATGTGGTATAGGAAGAAGGGTTAATATAAAGACAAACATCTATAGCCTGACCTTGCACTAATTTAACAATTTCCTTTCTCAGGAACCAAGCAGCTGAGAGTAATATTTTCTTGCTTACTGTTTCATTATTCAAGCAAATATGGCTACATAACATTTACTGGTTCTCAAAACAAAATTAAGCCACAAGAAATTTCCTTACTTCTGTACCCTAATGGGTCAATTTGATCAAAGAAAATGCGTTTTCTTTATTAAATTTCAGATCTGCTATATAATGCTATTATTTGAATAGTCAAGTCTACCAATCTTATTTAACAAGATCCAAATTATGTTTTTATTTATTGAATATTACAAAAGCTAAAAAAGTGAGATAGAATTTAAAAAATCCTGTCTCACTACAGTAATTATAAATTTAGCTTCAGCTTATAATTTGCTACGCATAAGATACCACCCATTCTTTGGTGACATGTTCCAGACTAAAGCCGATACAAGTAGCCTAGTTAGGGCACAAACTACCATCTAAACTCATCTCATTTTGAGGAAAGGTACTAGGATGTTTTTATTTGTCGCATGTAAGTATGTTTACTACAAGCTAACATCTAATCTTACATACTGTACATCCTCATTCACAGCATGTCATGTGACATTCATGTACACAATGTAACACATTGCTGTTTTCCATTCACTGCACATCATTTCAATATTTCTCAGTTTCCAGATACATTAATTACAAGGTCGAATTGGCTACTTCAGTGCCACAGAGCCAATTTAGTTTACAATTGCTGTTCAAATAAAAATACTTGAAACAATATAACAATTATTATATTTATTATATGATCATTAGCATAATATAAACCCATCTATTCTACTACTAAAGGTATTACAATTTGTATTTACAGTAGTTTAGTTTTATTTTGTAAGCGGCTGTCTTCTGTTAAATAAAAATCATAAAACAAATCATTCAAAACCTTTTACTGTACATTGAAATGTAAAAACAGATCAATTAATGGTTTCTTTCTTGTTTTAAATATCAATCTCCTTACAGATCATCAGAAAGGGTAAACAGCAAGATTTTAAATTATTTTGGCTGAAGACCATTTATTGTTGCATCACCAATGGCCTTCATTGCCATGGTAATGATCAACAAAAGTAAATTATTGCTTTTGATATTAATGATCTCATCAACTAAGCATTTTCAAGATTATAGAAAAAAAAGTAAGCTTTTTCAATATATTAAAATTAACACAATATATATATATATTAAATATACTGTGTATATTTTAGGATTGTATGTTGAGTTTATTCTTATAACATACAACATACTAGCTGATTTTGAATATATTTAACGGTTTTGAATACATAAGCAGTAGGTTTTGAATAAATCAGCAATGGGTCTGCATAAATTTAAATGTGGTTACATAATTAAAATAATATTTTGAAATGCATATTTTTATTTTAAAATGAAAGGTCTTGATAAATGTGTGAAATTTGCAAATTCCCTAATATTAATTAGTTTAGATAAATTTTGTTGCTATGGTAATATAATCATTTTATATCAGATTATGTATAATTATTAAATAAATTAATTTTTTAAATTACATTTAATTTATTATTTTAATTTTTGTAAATTAATTTACAATTTTTCATTATTACTAAACCTAAATTACATCAAGATCTTTTTAATTTCTCACCATAGATAATTTTTTCTTCTTTGTATTGTCTGCTAGACTATGAATCCTGTTTGTCATATGCAGTTCTTAAGCAGCTGGTGATATTGAGAATTTTAAAACTAATCAATCATCTTAAATTAGTTAATTAAAGCAGTGTGTCTTGTCATGATTGTTGGTTAATTATTCTGCTACTGAGACATGGTAGTGACATAGCATTCGCCTGCTTTGTTACGATGGTCACTTGCAGACGGTTTATTGCACAAAGATGACAAACGCACAGTGGACTACTAATCAAGGGGTTAAAGAACAACTATTCAAATTAGTCACATGATCAAAATAATTGCCAAAAACAATGACAACATTAATGAATACAGAACAAGGCCGTAACTGAATTACCTCCATATACATCATCAATTTGATTGATCTGTATAGCGTTTTGGATTTTTTAATTGTTCAATAGAGTTTTCACAAGCCAAACAACAACAAAGACTCAATCAAACATAATGAACCAGTACAGACAATGCAGAATCACTCATTAAGAACCTCAAGTGGATAAAGGTTGATAACTAAGATGGTGCAGCATCTACATCACTAACAGGATCAATTCACACCTCGCTGACACCTACTTATACTGACAACAACATGATAAAAGGTGCAGTACACTTCATTTTGATCATCTTTCATCAACTCCCATCCATAAAATAAACAACAGAGGGACTGGTTTTATGAACTAATTCCCTTTAATGCATTCACAAAGGAGGGTTGGTTGGGGGGGGGGAGGAGATGGGGAGTATCAGTTTAGTAGGATACAAACCATCTGTATCTGATTTAACATGTGACCCAAGTTAGTTTTAATCATGTATGCATTATAATCATGTATACAAATGGTATAGTACATCACGATTATATTGGTTCAAAATCCATCCTCGTCAC